TATTCCTCGGGTTGTTTGTTTGTTTGATGTTCACCACGAGGTAAAGGGGTGTGTTGCATTGGTACGGCGCGAACGGCGTGCATATTTTAATGACGGTTCCATTATTCGTGGATCTTAATGCGACTTAAATGACCGTATTTACCCTGTAACATAAATAAATGGAAGCGACACGAGCCAGTTTCTTGGTCGCGCCTTCTTTGCCTCTCGTGGCTGAATGTTAGACGCGAGAGTGGCGAGGATTATTATTTCGAAGCCTGTGAAAATTTATTTCCTTTCTTAAACGCATTATAAAAAGATCCATTGAAATTAGATTCTATTCATACGAGAATCGTTCGAAAACGAATCAAACTGGACTGGAAGTTTAATTAGTCGCGCGTTTGGAAATTGGTGCATAATAGAGTACGTAGAATGTCGAACTGAACCACAAATCTGTGGCTAGCGCCTGGACAGCAGGATTAAAGGTTTAGATTTAAACTGGTCGCGGATTACTGGTAAAGAGGTCCGAATCTAAGCGTCGAATCGGAATTGCAGAATTGAACCGCGGACGGAGGAGCTGTAAAATTCCGAATCGAGGCGAGATTATGTTAGCAGAGCTACGAGTTTAATTACAAAACTGCCACGAAATGGCACCGAATTACGTCACTGGTCCAGAAAGCTGTAAAATCCCATTAGCCGATCTCAGATTACACCTGCAGGATTTCAAATTTAATCCACAATAAGACCACGAATACTGAAAACTATAAAATTTCAACTTCACCTGATATGAAACCGGCAGAATTAGGGGGCGAAACTGGGTCACAAGTTTGCGCCGTGGTAAAATCACAATTTGACCCTAGACGAATTTAATTAAAAACTACATTTAATTCAAACTCGGACCGCGAATAGTGGAAACTATACTGTTCGAAATTGGCCCGAAATTCGAAATGTTTTTCCACGAGTGGTACGAGCGGCAGGAAACTTGATAACCACAAAACGATGTTTTGTTTTGCCCGGTCAATCTCGATCACATTTAGTCCACACTTGGAAAAATTAACTTACAATATTTCGACAAATTCGAGCAACCAAGGTATCGAGTTCAAATTGAATCGGAAAAATGACCCGGGCGCGCTACAACGAGAGCTGGAAATATAAAACCGAGATACGACGAGCAGAATTTACACGTAACTCGTTCGCGAATTTATAGTCCTCTAAAATCTCCATTCAGCCGAACATTAAAGCTACAGAACTCTCGGGTTGGTACCGCGATCGGTGCACTTCGAGTCCCAAAATTGCGTCGTACAAGTTGGAACCGCGAGACCCCGAAGTTGTCCCGCGAAATTAAAGTCGCGCAGTTTCGAATTTAATTAGAAAATCTCAGGCGGTTCCTGTTTCGCGTCCGATGTCAAAACGAGGAGCGCGGAGTTTCGGATCGCGCCGCAAATTCCGTGCCTTCGAATTTCCGAATTCGACCGCAAAATAGACCGCGTCGAAGATCTCGAATCGCCTCGTAAAATCGTTGCTTCGAATTTCTCTCGAAATCAGCCCCTGAATACTCGCTTCGCGGGCCCGCGAATTTAAAAAAAACAAATTCCACGCGATATCAAGATTTAGCTTGGCTGTCGCTTCCACGCGGGCCATTATCTTTGACCTGTAAATCAATTTTCGTTGCCGCCCGCTCGACCGAAAAATCCGCCGCGAAAATATTTGCGAGAATCGTATCTCTCTTTCCAGCCTGCCGCTGGAAAATCCCGTTCGATTGATCGTTACTGCGCCATTCATGACGCTGAAATGTAATTAATTAACTTTCGGCCGGCTGTTCGATAAATCGTATGCTCTTTTTTTTTCCCGTGTTTTCCTTTTTTGCTTCCCTCGCAGTTTTTCCCGTCCGGAGAATTTTGGCGCGGCTCTGACACGTTTTTATTAAACGTTACTGGGGGAATTATTGTTGAGCCCCGAGTGAATCTACGCAGGAATGCGCTTTGCGAAATCGCGAGGAATATTAGGAAACAAAGATGGTCTATGCGTCGATATTCTCTAGTTATAACATCGTTGTGGCCTGTACGCTAAAATTGAAAACTGTGATAGAGTCTCCATAAAAAAGTAAATCGAAAATATTCGACAGATTTTTGTCACACGAGGCTTTGTTTCGAAGGAAATTGAGTTCGAACGCACGTGGGGCACGCCGAGCGACGCGTCCCCCAATTTGTTGTATCCGCAAAGTCGATTTTCGTGGGAACAAAGCCTCGTATGGAAAAGTTAATGGTACTTTTTTGATTTATTTTTTCATGCGGAATCTGTTTATCGTGGACTCAATCCTCGACTGATTAATCGCTTGACTCTCATCTTTGGATCGACTGAAATGTTCCGACTAGAAATCTCCGCGATCAGTAATTTAGCCAGTGTTCTCGGGATAAAAATTGAACTCGTCGAGGCTGTCATCGTTTCGATCAACGCGATAGAGCTCTTGTCAGATGATGCACTCCACCGCGCACTGATTTTTCTCTAACCGTCCACTCTGCGCGCATTGCTAGGTAGGTCTCGCACAAATGAATCAATCACTCAGGGAAGAAAAATTGCCGAGTACCTTCGGTAGGAATTCAAACGGAATCTTCATTCATTATTTAAATATAAGAAGCTACGGGAAAGGAAAATTAGTTTAATTTCTTGGAGAACGAGGAGAGATTAAGATTACGTCTTCCTTTTCTTCCATAAATGTTGCAACGAGAAAAAAGGTCAAGGGTTGTATTCTTTCCTTTAGGAATTAAATTCCAAGGTCGTTCGTTTTGGAGTGATTCGACTTCCTGGCCCCTTTAGGGCTTTGATAAACTGGCGCGTGTCACGATGGGGTGAAAAGTGCGAATCGTCGGACAGAAATGAGTCCGTGGTCGATAATCAGCGCTCGCGCAACACGTTAAAGTGGCATTATAACACTCTTATCGGGCCGACATGACGTACGGGACCGTGTCCTGAAAGAGTTAATGGCGATGGAGCATGGCGGCGCGAGAGAGACCGCGGCCGTCGTGAATCCTTTGGTATCGTAGCACGGTGTCGATGGCGTGTTCGATTGTATCGCGACCCATGATCCCCATCCCCGTTATTTATTGCCGAAATCCGGCTGTTTTTTTGTTAATGGATCCCCGCAGAATTTTGTGTGCTACACGCGAGATAGGAAGTGCCTGGTTTTTCGTTTTTGTAACCAGAAATAGGGTACCAATCCAATCACACGCTCATTAATACCGATGCGTATCAATCGACGGCTGTGCTGAAGTATGAAACGAGCGTCGAAGTTTTCATTTGGTGTAGAATGAATCGAGAAGACAATTCAGACGATAAGGAGTTAGGTTGAGGCTTAACAAATTGGATGGTTGGATGATTATATATGAAAGGAATGTTTGTATCGATAGCAAATTTTAACAGTAGATTCCTTGCTTTCTCTGGAGTAACATAGGCTATGTTATTTTAAGAAAAATGATAGCAAAGTTTGCACGGTATATACAAATTCGTTTCGTTCGGTGAATTGTCTATTTTCGTCTAGGAGTCGATGAAAATGCCACGATGTGACGACAAAAAATATATATATTCGATAATTCTATAATCTGACATTAGAATAATTCTAAATTCTACGATACGATGATATTTGAATATTTTTGGTGGAGCAGAGGAATTATTTTGACGCCGAGAGAATTCGTTTTTGAATATTCGCTGAAAGCTGAAATTTATTAGGAAGCGTGTAAAAGTATCAAATCACTTTTCTCCGTTATTTCAAAATAATTATTTTTGTGCTGTACAAGGTAATAATTCTTGATCAGATTTTTAATTTACGCGATAAATTAAAAGGTAACTCGGGCAATATTGCGAAACAGCATTTAAATTTCCCACGGGAGAAAAATTACAACGTGCCCGATAAAGGGTTTCGGTGGTATGTATGAAGCATAAGGGACGAGCGGTGGAGTGCCATAACCACTTACATTCGCAAGGATAAGCACTGCCTGGACGATCTCGGTGCTCTTCGCGGTTACGTGGGCACCTACGTTCTTTCTCAAACGGCACGGAACGTACTCGCGCATTCTCTCCGACCGCAGAAATACGGAAGCACTTGTTAAAACGAAAAGGAAGATTGAACGTTCAAATTCGCGGCTCCAACTACTCAGAATTTATTCCTACTAGGCATATATTTCCTCGCGGTGAAAAGTTTCGTCCGAAATTTACATGTGCTTTAAAATGCGTCGCTACGAGCCAGATCGCAGTTTCTCGTTTTTGCCCCAAAACGAAAATTATGGCACTTCGGTGGTCCCGATTTCTTTCCCGGACAAATCTAATTTCGAATTAATTCCGTTATATTTGATTTTTTATCGAAATGGTAAATATATACCTTCTATAGTCTCCGCGTTTCGTTATTTTCAGCGAATTCACTCTCAGAATGAAGCGATTTCCTGCGAAATTTATATCGCGAGTGGTCCTTCAAAGTTCGTAATGTATTATTTTTCTGGGAGATAAAAAATCGCCGTTATTCTATTTCGCAGCGAAACACGTTATTCCCTGTTTTATTTAAAAATACAATTTGTCGTTTCGGTTCCTTCCTCTTGTGACGATAAATTTTATTGGATTTCAGATACATCGAATAATGGTGGGATATTCCTTTATTAAATTCGATTTTATCGTTTGTACGTACATAAAATATGTTTCTGAGCAATTCGGTGCATTATAACACACGGAGTAATAGTGTTTCGTTCTTTATGAACATTATAAAATGTATGACACGCTAGATGTTGCGCATTATTAATTATTTATTTTAGTACAGGCGATAGCCACGATAGGAGTCTTTCAAATTTTTATCCTAAATGTGACTACAATAATATCCACTTCTTATCACTTAATATCACTATCTTGAAGGTCACACATTTAACAGCCACTATTCGAGGCCTCGAAACCGGACCGACATCTTGAAAAGCATTCTTTCAATTTTCCGTCGAGTTCCGTCTTGGCAACCACACTAAACGTTGCTTTTCTTTCTGTTGCAGCTCTATCGGCACACGTACCTGGCCCACTACAAGATCGTGAACCTGCAAACCTCGTAAGTAAACGAGCCGCGCGCTGCCCCGGGCCATTTAGGATAATCGTATCTCAAACTTATTCCGCGGCCGAGTTTAGATTTGCATTTTAATCTTCGCGCTACCGAGGGGACTGGAAACGGCTGGCGGCCCTCGAATTACGGCCAGCCCGCGAATTTCAGGCCGTCTTAAACGCGGGAAAGGTCTCCGACGCCCCCGCCATCGGCGAACTTCGTCCCCGCGGTTCTGGACGTTAATTCGACCGTTTAAGAGTACTTATATCACGATTAGCCTGGCCGACTGCTCGCCCTCGGATTCGTTTTTCACCCTCTTTGCCTGTGGCTTAACCACCCCTGCAATTTCACTGCCTAGGTGGCAGCAGAGTCTGTCGGAAACACGTGCTCGACAATTCCGGGTACTTAATAGGAAACGAAGGCTGCTATTTCATTAATGGACACCGCGTATGTTACTATGGAACATTGTTCGATTACTGCAGAGAATCGTGGAGCAGGTGGTATGATTATTTTGAAAGGATTGTGGTAGACGTAACTCGTTTCTTTAATGTTACTAAAAGATAGGTGGAAATAGAGCTTTAGTTCCCCTCGATTTGTCAGTTATCAAATTCATTATTCAACTATTACACCTAACGTAAAACTGAAGCTTTCAGTATAATTCGACCATGAATTCCTTCCTTTAGCATCCTTAAAAAAAAATAGGTGGGAATGGAGCTTTAGTCTCCCTCGATTTTTCAGTTATCCAACCATTATAAGTTAAACTGAAGTTTTCAGTATAATTCGACCATGAAATCCTTCCTTTAGCATCCTTAAAAAAAATAGGTGGGAATGGAGCTTTAGTCTTCCTCGATTTTTCAGTTATCAAACCATTATACGTAAAACTAGAGCTTTCAGTATAATTCGACCATGAATTCCTTCCTTTAGCATCCTTAAAAAAAAATAGGTGGAAATGTAGCTTTAGCCACCCTCAATTTTTCAATAGGTGGAAATCTAGCTTTAGTCTCCCTAAATTTTTCCGTCAACCAACTCCTTATTCAACCATTACACCTAACGTAAACCTAAAGCTTTCAGTATAATACGACCTTGAATTTCTTTCCTGAACTAGCCTTGATATTCCATCGATCCCAGAATTTCCTTCCCTAATAGAATATAATGGTGATTACGATGTCCTTGGAAACTATGGCCAGTACGCGGTCGCGAATTCCAGCAAGTCGAGGAAAATTTACGCGTTGCTTTATATAACGTTCCCCAGGGGAGAGACTCGGGTAAAAAATAAAGGACGAAACAACCAATATTGTTCGAAGAGTTCGAAAATACTTTCCTTTGGTGCGAGGGGGAGGCTTCCTCACTCTTTACAAGAGTATTTTAAACTTCAGCCCTTCAACTCGAAGTTATACGATGGCCGTAGATGAAAGCCGTCTTTCAAACTCGGAGAGAATACCGCGCTAGCAGGGAAACGCCGGCGCCGCGCCGCGCGGGAACGCGTGATGTCACCTGAGTTATTCTTTAATGACTTCCGGAGAATATTTAAATTTGTCACGGCGCCGTGAACACGAGAGACTTCAATTATTTGAGCGCGCGCAGTCTCTAAATACAGTCCTCCCCTAACTACGTAATCATAACTTTGGGCTCTTCGGCGTGACACAGTTTCTGTACATAGCCCGCGCTGACTTTTTGGTCGCAACTCCCGGCTAACTGCAGCCATCATTACGTCCAGGGTTGCTCCAGACGCGGCCCGAACCCCTGGAATTATTATTTCACCGCTGATATGCAATCCTGTTCGATATTATTCATATTAATCCACTTTCGGACACGTTTAACTAATTCCTTTTATCCACATATTTCGTTCATTAGGTTTTGTACTCCATTTCAGAGGCAAAAAATAATGAACGAATGTAATTTGAGGTGAAAAGAATCTCTTTTTGCGAACGAGTATTATTTATACTAATTCACGTTCTGAAAAGCACCCTATTTCTCACCCTAAGTCGCTGACACATTGCTGACCGGCAATTTTACACAAAATGGACTTCCTGTTACTATATCGTAATTGAATATGAAATTAAAATAATCTAAATAAGCTCCAATAAACTCTATTTATATTTTACATTCACATCTCTTACATAACTATACAATTTTTTTATATCGCCCCGGGTTTCATAAATGCAAGTGCAAACACGAGTTAACCGGTCAGCATTTCGTATCAACCTCTGGTGGCTCCCCTTAAAAAGCTCCCTTCGTATGAAAAAGCTCCTAAGAACATCGAGAAGACAGAGAACGATCCCGTTCGTGGTTCCGCGAGATTCTTTATCACACATTCCTGCGGGCGCAACAAACGATCCCAATTAGCGATCGAGAACAAAGAAGAGAGGGACCCGTCTTCGTTGCTTTGACGTCGGAGCGCAATTGCAGCGAAATTGCTTGGGACAAAAGTGGCCGGTATTACAGGGTAGAAAAGAATGTCAAGCTCCAGAATTATCGAGTTGTAATTGCGAGGGCAGCTCTCGGCACGTCGCTGGTTTAGGAATGGTGTCAGCTCATTTGTGGCGGACCTTTCGCGACGTATCAGCCCGTTTCGCGATTCTTTGTGTGCTTTGTTGTAATTACAGCTCATGCTGCGCCCGTGATCAACGTGCAGTATGTATCTAATCAAGGCCTAATGTACAAGACCTGGTGCACGCCTAATTGCTGGCCGAAGCAGGCCACGTTGTCTGTTTTATCGATAATGTGGTCTGTTTTAACGAGGGAATGCTCTGTATTTGAATCATTCGTTGCGCGAATCGATTAATTCCATTAAACAAAAAGTTGAGAAACGCGATCCAAATGGCCTTCTGGAATATTTATTGTTCAATGGTCAAATTGTGTCTTTTAATGCTGTTGATCTTTATTATTCTGGAAAATTATTATAAATATGTCTACGAAATTTGCCTACGTCTACGCCTTATGTTTACTTTTTTTAAGTGGCTCCTCTGAACAAATGAATCGTGGTGCGTGAATGTTTAGATTATTGGTTTGAATGTCGAGCGAATGTTTATATGATTGGATGGGACATTCCTTAGTGCGTTTGTTTACACAAGCGATACGTGAGAACGAAAACAAAAATGTCTGTGACGCTTGAGCGAACGAATGGTTAATTCCTAGGTTAGTTCCGTGAGAGAATTCGTGAAGAGCAGTCACGCGAGCTACGCGAGTGTCTCTAGTAAAAGTTAAATTATGTATAAGTCGCATCTTAATTCTACACCCGATGACCGCCACAAATATAAAAAGGTGACTATACCAAGCTATGCTTTGACACTTGACACTTTATCTACCGAGCTATTTAGAAACAGTCTTTAATTCCAATTATAGAATAATTGGATTTAATTTTTTTAATCCTAACTACATATGTTTAATTCTAACTTTAATTCTAATATGCCAATCTAGGCTGACAATAATTCCTCCATACTATTACTGAGTACATTGAAAGCCAAGTCTGTTTCCAAACACCAACAACACGGTAAATAAATTCAAACAACTAAATACTGCAATTAAAAAGCCTATAAATAGCCTCCCGGTAAAGAAAGCGTCAAGATCTTTCAAAAATTGAAGTTAACCGATTCGTGCAGCGAATTTATCATTTACCCGAGTTGTTTCCAGCACGTCGATAGAATGAGAATCGGGTTTATTCAAATGAAAATCTTCTCGGTGCATCGTCCAACGTTGTCACGTATTATATGGGAACGTAAACGTTCAAAAATAGTTCTCAAGTGGTTTATGAGTGCGTTAACTGTTTGAAAGTTCGCTTCGCGCGCAACGCGGGGCAACATAAACAAACAATGTTGAAAGTTTCCGGCAACCAAGTACACGGGAGTGGCGAAATTACCTGAGAAGTTAAGAACAAAAACTCGCTGGCTAGGGCAACGCGCATGAATGACTCCGACAACGTGACTGGCACGACGAATGAAGTGGCGCGCAAAGAGCCGTGGAACTCCGCGATGAGGGGGCTGGAGGGGGCAGAGGGGGTGGTAAAATGTTACCATTTCTGCTCGTGACATTTTTCTTGGAGACGCGCGGACTGTTAACAGCGCGAGGAATTTTCGGGAGCGCGTCGAAAATGAAATTCGCCGCAGATATGAATCCCGGGTTTCAATTTGCCAATCAAAATGGCGCGGTGTTTCGCCCTTCGAAACGTTCGATGGAAATTAGGAAAAGGGACGGGGAATGGATTCGTTGATTAAATCTGGGATCCTTTACCTAATTAAATCATTCCACGTGGTGCGAAATGCGAACGTTTTATAATTAATAATAACGCTTGGAGACCTTTCATGGCAGCCGTAGGTGGAATTAATTCTCCTTCTCGGATTAAATTTCGCTCCCTTAAATTTCGCTTTGCACCTGACACTTACCAATAACAGAGGAATACATATCTATTAAATCCACTGCTTCTTTTTAAATTTCTTGACATCGTCGATATGTTTAGGCACGCCATATTTAATTTTCACCAATCTGATCTGACCAGTGAAAAAGAGGATTGCCGAATGCTCCGAAGCGCCCGGCGAATAAGACGATGCTGTCTTCCGATAAGGGAACTGGGAAAGACACTGCTTGGCTCGGAATTCCCGCGACGGGAAGCGATTTTCGCTTTTAAACCGAGACTAAACTCTCCTACAGATCCATTTTTTATGCGGAGATAACAGTATTAATACTAGCGAAGATTTTAATCCCAAAGTGCCCTTCCCGGTACAGAATCTCGTATATCTAACCGCTGCGGCGTTACTCCGCAGCCAATAGAGCGTTTTACAGCCAGGTATTCCCCGTCGACCAGCGGCGGAATTCGAAAATGAAAAAAAAAGGAAGGAAACGCTCCGGTTCGATCGTGCGGAATAAAAATTGATAGAATTCCATGCGTGCGCGAAGAGTATCGGTCGTAATCAAATTCGCTTAAATGACTTGATCCGAGGTCGGAACGGGAAAGCTTGATTGAACAAACACAGCGGCCAGAAACGGGCGAATTCTTTTCCGTCGCGACGATT